CTAAAAACCACACAAGAAGTCATTACCTTCTCCATTAAAGAAAACCATACAAAAACACCATTAACCTCACCACCAAAAATAAATACAGATCATTTATATATAGTTTAAGACATAAAAGCCCAAGCTTCGACTCAGAAAATACAGGTTTTCATTCCAAGATGTACAGCAGCACTTTTCCTGGAAAAAATGCATCAGTGCTTTCTAGCAAGAGGCTTCCCTCTTCCCTGTAAAGAAAAACCCAGCCACAGTAACAAACAAACACTCCTCACTTCAAAGAGGATAGAGCTGCTTTCTTTTAGCCCTGCTTCCCTCCCTGGGGCAAAGCAGCTGGTTATAGGATTCACCTCCAAACAGGGCTATCATCTGGTCTACTCTGAGGCATAAGGTATGGAATGAAGTTCATAGAATCATAGAATGGCCTGGATTGAAAAGGACCACAATGAACATCTAGTTTCAACAACCTTGCCAAGTGCAGGGTCATCAACTAGACCAGGCTGTCCAGAGCCACATCCAGCCTAAATTAGTTATCCTAGGAGGAGGAAGAAAGAAAAAATACAGTACCTATATGAGGAAGTGATACAAACCCAGAAGTTTAAAAGTAGCAGACAAGCTTCTGATGTAATTTTTTTTTGCAGTTATGGCAGGCCTGAGAGTCGCAGGATGTTGGTTGATACAGAGATAGCTACGGCTTTCGCTGAGGCAAACATGAAAGTTTGCACAAGAGCAATGAGAGTTGCGTGAGTGCTGCTGCGGTCTGGGGGCTGCTCACCACTACCAGAAGCCAAGATAAGGGATGGCACGATGGTCCATAGTCACGCCTGGAAGACTTCCCTGCTGCCTCTTTTCTAAGCACTACAGCTGCGAGTCAAAGATCAAAGTCACACAAGGTGCTCTTCCACACACACAGGCTGTTCTGCAGGAAGAGGGGTTGCAAGGTCTCCACAAACACATTAAATGGGCTTTGAATGAATGTTGAAGCTTCAACAGTTGTTTTTTAAAAAGTCAACAGCCAAAATAATAGAAGGATACTGGGAACCACCAGACACAGTCATTACCATTCAGTCATGAGACTTCTCACAAAGCACAAAAGTTGTGTGGGGTTGTTTTTTTTTTTTTAAAGGGTATTAATATTATTTTTCACAGTCATACCCTTCTTAACCTCTCTGCTTAGTACCTACCAAAATAATGCCCAACAGGGTGAGCACTAGCTGGCAATAACACTTTCAATCCTATACTACACCAAAAAGCCACAGAAATAAAGTGATCAAAATACATATGCAGAGGGCAACCTCCTGTGCTCCCACCAAATTGCTGTCATATCAAGCTGCCTTCTGTAGCTCATTATGTGACACTGTGTTGAAATGTGGAGAACACCAACTCATTTGTGCTAATCCAGGCTACTGGCTTACTCAAGTAGGATTTATTACTCACAGATGCTCTACAAAATTACAGTGTAGAACAACGAGAAACCTCGACATGCACAAGACTTCCTGGAATTGGCAGAGGCTGAGCTAGAAACCCTGCGGTAACTTCTCACCACATCGCAGAAGAGCTATTCAGGTTGGAATGCCTTTGGCATCAAAAGGAAGATGTGTTTTGGGAAGCCCGATGAGTGTAAGATTCCCTTTTTGTCACCTCTTCTGCTGAAAAGCTTTCTACACTCAAACTATCTGATTGAATTCAGCCAGTACTGCAAGGCTAGCCTTCGGATGGCTTTTTCAGGTGAAAAATATTCACACAGATGCATGGTATATGAAAAGCAGAACTAGTGAGGAAAAGTCTGACGGTCATTTTCTGCAATGATATGTTCTATCAACCCGTAACTGTTAATCACTTTATACTTAATTGGAATCTTCAATAAAAAGCCAAACCGTCACAGGTTTATTTTACCTCAAGTATATCCCCATACTTGTTGTAAGCCTTTATTTCAGATCCACATTCTTGGAGTTGTAAGCCTTTATTTCAATTCCAAACAGTCGGAAGCAAGACACAGTGACACGGTTCTGGTTGACTGGAAGTCATTTTATTTCTTCGTTTCCTTCGGTGAAAGTAATGATATTGTTGGCTTTTGTCCCTACTCCAAGTGAAGGAAAGTTCTGAAGATTCTGTATAAGATGTCATTGTTTTCCCACAGCCAGTAGTAGGGAGAACAACGGGGCACTTCTCCTCAGCTGCAGATCACTGTGAGGCCAAGTTGGTCTCTGGCACCACAGCCTGGGGACATCTCCCACAGATGGACTCAGCTTTACCCCCCTCAGACCGAGGGCCTGCTTCCCTCCAGGAGCCAGGGACATTTCTCAGAGGCACTCAACTCACATTCTGTTTGTGGTGGCCTGGACGGCACCTCCTCAGCACAGAGGTGTGAGCACAACGCTCAGCACTGCAGAGCCAGCACCTACGTCCTTTACTTAGGGCTTGCAAACACCCTTGCAGCACAGCTCGTGATGCTCCATGCTGAAGCACATGAATCCTTTTGGGGATTTCACTCGAAGTGAATTGCTGACTTGCACTACACAGATCTGTAGGCCTTCTGTCACCAAAGGAGTCCCTAATTGCCAGATTTCAATGAGATGCTCGGGTGAATTAGATTTGTCTGGTTAAAGTCCTGTCTGGGGAGTAATGGGTTGAAATTACTTGTGAGGAGACTTGCGTGGGAGCTGCAGGGGTAGGAAGGGGGTAAAGAGTCATTCATTTTCTTCCTCTGAAACACAGCCACTTTGCCAACACACGCTGTCAAGGCAGACCTGCCCATAGAGTAAATTACAAAGCATTGGCCATGTCAGAAATGAACTCCATCATTATACATTCAAATATCATCCAGACCGACTCCAGCAGATCTGTACCATACAAGTTTGGATCAAATATTAATGTGCACCTGAGAGAGAGCATGTGAATAAGGGAAAATACAAGCATGCAGCACCTTCTCTCCCTCTACTATGGGAAGGCAGCAAAGTAAGTACTAGTGGCTAAGTAGCAGAAGGAAGCATCAAAGGGCAAACTACTCCAAGTATTCTTCAATGTAATCAAATACATAATATTGTAGATGCATCAGATCAAGCTGTTACATTGTCATGAAGGCAGGGGACAGTTTTCACCAGCCTCACTACAACTTTACCACACCAGAAATCCACCTCAGACTATCTTATGTCCAGGTGGGTATATTCAGTTAAGCAGCTATTCAGAATTGTACCCATGGATTTTTAGATAGTGCTATTCAGGCAAATCCTGTAGCACCTCAGAAGTAACATTGCTCCTCAACAATGCCTTACTTTACTCACACAGAACAGAAATTTGCAAATTGGACCAAACTTTTAAAGATACTTAAAACAAAAATAGTTAGCAAGTTTTCTGTGCCACCTTCATCATTTCTGCCTTACACTGAGGACCACATCCACACACCAAAATTGTTTATCACTCACTGGAGACAGGTATTTAGCCCTCATCAAAACAACTTTGAGAGAAGCCTGCCCAGGGCTTTGCACTGAACTGATATTTCATGCCACTATACCTTCTGCCAGCAGGTAGCTGGAACAATGTGCCTGAAGCACAAACCACAAAACACCAAAGCCAGCAGCTTACCATTAGACAGCCTCAGCTGGGAAATTCTTACTTTTGCCAAAGATGAGCCACTCAGATGAGGCGCCCAGCTATTAGAGGTGGAAAAGAAGCAGGCCTGCAGGCAAACCCTATAAGAATCATCCAAAAGTTTCAACAGAGGAAAGGAAGTGTGCCATCTACTACCAGCAGCATACAGATCTTGAAGGAATTATTATAACTTTCATCAGTTTCAGCTTTGTGAAGAAAAAAAAAGGATCACAAAGTCCTTCTCACTTCCTTGAGATTCTTAAGAAACCGCAAAAAAAGCCACAGACCTGCTGACATTCACTGCATGTTGCCAGTTACCTGAGCACAGACAGCAGCATGCTGACTGCTGTCACTGGGGGGCATGGGAACCTTCTTCCATTATAGGGACACAGACCAAACACTCAATCTGAAATGTGACCAACGAGTGGCTTCTCACCCCACAGTTTCCCCCTGGACCAAGCTATGGTTGAAGTTGCTATCACCAAAGATCAGGTACGTTTCCTTCTCTCCCTGCTCCGATATTTTTCCTTTGGCTCCCTTTGTTCACTCCAGAACTTTGCCTGACGCCTGTCACCCGGCGAGGGAGTGGCGGGCAGCACGCAGCCACCAGCGGGGCCCGGGTGAGGCCAGCGGGAGCCGCAGGATGAGCGCAGGGCTGGACACGAAGCCACGCACGGCTCCCGCTCACCGCTCCCCTGCGCCGGGTCTGGAGCCAGCAACGTCCTACGCCTGGCTGCTCGGGGAGATGAGACAGCGAGAACGTTTCCTCTACGACATATAAACAGGCAGATCCTCACCTTTTTTCTTTTTTTTTTTTTTCCCTTCCCTCTCTGAGTTGCGGTCACCGGCGGAAAGGATATCAGGGGAAAAAAACACCCGGCCGCGACGCGCGCGTAGGGAGGAGACGCGGGGAAGCGCTACAGGGCAGCGGCGGGGCTGCAGCGAGGCGGGATGCGGGAGCCACGCACGGAGGAGCACGGCACGGTCCCGCAGGCACCGGGATGCCTTCCGCGCGCCCGCTCCGCTCCCGCCACTCGCACCGCGGCCGCGCGACGGGCGGAGGACGACGGGGGCGGCTGCCGTCCTCCTCCGGCACCGCCTCACCGCCGCCCCCCGCGCCGGGCCCAGCAGCGGCAGGAGCACGGCGGATCTCCGCGCTCCCGGTGCCGGGGAGGGGGGGACAGCCGCCATCCCCCGCCCCCGGCGCTGCACAGCACTGAAAGAGCCCTTTGTGGCCGACCGAGCCCCAGCACAGGGTAAGGGGGGGAGGGAGGGGGAGGAGGACAGTCCCGGTAACCGGGGGGGGAGCCCCACAGCAACCCCACCGCTCGGCTGCACAAAGGAGGCGACCGCGCCGCGGCATCTCCCCCCCCGCATCCCCGCCTCCCCCGGGCGGTGGCTCGGCCCCGCGGTACCTGTGCGGCGCAGCGCGGGGCCGGCTCTCACATCTCCTCGTCTCTCTCGCCGGTGGCCCTCCGCTGCGCACCGCCGGCGGGCACAGCTCCAGCAGGGCGCGGGGCTGCCACGGGCGCTGCCTCCCGCTCTGCGCTGACTGAGCTGCGCTGCGCTCCCCGCGCGGCTGCTGACAGATGGCGCAACCGCAGCGCCGCCACCGCTCCGAGCCGCCGCCGCCGCCGCTGCCTCCCCCCGCCCTCCCGCCCGCCGCGCCCCACCGCGGGGGCGGCCCCAGATTGGCAGCGCCGTCGGCCTGTGGCGAAGCGCGGCCGGCAGCCGCCGCCGCTCTGATTGGATGGCGGCTGAGGGAGGCGGGGCGAGGGGGGCTGCGCCTTTGCTGCCGCTCGGTGGGGCGGGGAGGGCAGTGCCGCGCCGCCATCGCCCCCCGGTTCGGGGCTACGGTGGCCGCCTCGGGTGGGAGCCGGCGGAAAGACCGGGGGCGAGGCGCGAGATGGCGCGGAGGGAAAGCGGCCCGTGCTGAGGGGGGGGTGTCCGGAGCCTGTGAGGGGAGCGGGTGCTGAACGTTTCCTCGGGCTGAAATCCGCCGTGAACGGGAGAACAGCCTTAAGGAGATGACGCCTTTGTGAAAGACGGCATTTCTTTAATATCCCTAACTCTCGCAATTGGCATTAGCGGGCTATAAGGAAGCAGCAGGAACGCACCGTGCCGTCCCCGAGCGGCGGCACGCCCTGCCCGGAGGCGGGAAAGGCCGCCCCGCGCTGCGTTCCCCCCGTCCGCAGCGGTAACGGCATTCCTCGGTGCTCCAGCCTCGGGCTGCTCTCGGAACGCAGCCCCGTGTCACCTCGGATGCTCCCGTCTGGCAGACCGGCACATCTCGCCGCCACCGATCTCCGGGGTCTGGAAGGCGGCTTTGCTTTAGCACTGAAGGAGTCGTATTTTAGGCTTTAGCAAAAGCTGGAGAGACGTGCAAAATGCAGATGCAGACAGTGAGAAGTCTAATGAAACAAGTCGAAATAGCAGAGAGAACTGTAACACGTGTCCAATAAAAAGGTTTACGAGTATCTGCTCCCCAGTTTTCGTTCGGCTGCTCCTAATTAACCCAAAGAATCATTTCATCTTGGTTAATCTGATTTCTTGATAAAATTGCAGTTGTACGTGTTCAAATGTAACCTTGTTTCTATCTGTATGTTTACAGCTGTGCAATTACAACAATAAATGTTTCACCTGTCTCTTTAATAACCGTTATGGTTATCTGTGTATGTGATTCTTGATCACAACACTTCAGGACCCTCAGAGTTTGTCCACTCATTCATATAAGAAATTTGGAGAGGATGGGATTTCCAAAGGGAAGTTTCACTTGTATCATTTCTCATTTTAAATCTGATTATAGAATCACAGAATCATTAAGGTGACAAAAGACCACTAAGATCATCTAGTACAACCCCAACCTGCCTTCACCAGCCCACTAAACACATCCCTCACTGCCACAGCCATATGGTCACTGAACACCTACAGGGACGGTGACTCCACCACCTCCCTGTGCAGCCTGTGCCACTGCCTCACCACTCTTTCTGAGAAAAAATAGTTCCTAACATTGAACGTGAACCTCCCCTGGTGTGACTTAAAGCCATTACTTCTCATCCTGTTGCTGTTACCTGGGAAAAGAGATGTGGACCTTTTCACAGATGTATAAGCAAACAACAATTTCAGCTATTTAGGCAGCTTGTTTTTTGTCTCCTTCCTAGTCTTTTCATGTGAAGCCACATGCTTATTTTTATGTTTTATCACACAGAAGGTATAAGCAGCATATGAGCAGAAATGTACAGATCATTTGGAAAAACAGTTTTTGCTTTGCATCCTAGTGGGTGATAGCAGGAGAACAGTGGCGTGGACTGGCTCCTCTCTCTTTCCAGAAACATGAGGCAGAATCTCGATCATTTTGGCTCAGAAGAGCTCTGGATTCATCCACTGGGCCAGCAGCAGTAGCAGCGCTGGAAGCACAGAGCCTCTGCGCAGACATCAAGGTGCCTGACTTTATAAAAAGCTGCATCTTTGTGTGCTCTCAGCTTGCTTCTTTTTATGGGGCCATGCATAATCTTAACTCCCCACAAGTCAATAAGGATTTATATTCTTGTGATCTTAGGCATCCAGGAAACGAATCAAAGAACCAGGTGTTCTGCCTGCGAGAGATAGAGAAAAGAAATGCACTTCATTCCACAATCAAGAAAGAGAGCAAAAAGAATGCTCGCCCAAAACTTTGAGTGTTCTTCGTGTGCTGCTAATTACAACCAGAATGGCACAACGAAGAAAAAAAGACAAACAGAACAGTTACTGTGTTTTTGTTTGTTTTTTTTTTTTTTCCAGCCAAACCAGAAATTAACCAACTAATCAATGAAGGCAGACCAGAACAATATTACACATCAGCCACACAGCCGCTATAAACCTGGGCACATAAACTAGCTTGGCAGCATGCCATAGAAAGTCTGGTTCTCTGAGCTAGTACAGCTGAAGAGGAGCAAGGTGTGGAGTCAGAAACCAAGCATAGGAAGTTGCATCGGAGGGAAGCATGGGAGGAAGCCTTGGGGTTTCCTTTCAGGAGAACTGTAGTTCCTGTAGGATCATAAAGGCTAGGAGAGGTGTTGTGAGTTTGTGTGCACCTGTGGCAGAGGTTAAATGTGCTGGAGCAATGCCTGCTGTGTGAGTGGAGTCTGCTCATGCCCAAGGGAGGCAGCTCTTCCTTGCAGAAGGCATCGTGTTTGGCCCTCACCATCATGCTCTGATGATGTTGGTGTCTGCCTTGAGGAATCACCAGGAAAATCTGGCAGGCACATTCCCAATTAAACAGAAGAAAAAATTAAATGTACTTACAGAACACAAAATCTCTTCCTCAAGAAGAGAAGCAGCTTTTTCTAAGCATCTTATCTTAATGTCTGTAATGCTGCTTTCTCCCACTTTCATCTTAGTGGCCTTTCTCTTCAATGCAGACTAGTTTCTCCTCTTTCTCCAGACATCTTCAAATACTTTGTCAGTAAAATCTTGAAATAATGTCACTGAAATGCTTATTCCCCTTCAGCCTGTATGGAAAACATGAAAAAATGTCAAGATCTTAATTCCATGAATAGTTACGTGTGTGAAATGATGTGTCAGGATTTTCCCTTTTCCTTCCCATTCTGTGCTCCCTTTGTCTTACGCAGTGACAAAAACCCACGCCATTTTTGCAGTGAGCAACACGAAAATTATGGATCCTGTTTAAGATTTACTTATTGACTTGTATTATTGACATAGTGCCCGGGAACACAGTGCAACAGTCACAAAATAAGCCACGTTGCATGAGTGCTTGATGAACTCGGTGAACAAAAAATCAGGAATGTATGCTTAATAAGTAGCAGTAGCTCCAGTTTGTATTGAAATGCGATGCTCTGAGAAGTAAAACATGCTGAACTTCATGATAGGAAGGAGATGTAAAGGTAGTGCTTTTGTGGAACAATGCAGGACATGGGTTCAGTTCTCTCGATTGTTTCAAACTCCTGTTGGTAAAGCCAGGCTGCCTCTAAGAAAAGGACACATCAGCATTACTTTATGGGTTCTTGCAAGCCATAATTTGAAAAATTGATAGCCTAAGAATCTTTAAAAAGATCCAAACAGTGCTTAGTTTTACAGTGCACTTTTCTCATGAACTTTCTAATGGGATTACATTTCAGAAGGATTACCAAGTGTTTTCTTAAGGCCCTTCACTCAAAGCAATACACTCATCACACGGAGTCTAATAGATCACTGATCGTACAGCTCCGCTGTTTCCGAATGTTTCCGCGTTCTCTCTTATGCTTCCTCCCTCTTTCTCTCTTACGCATAAGGGAGTATGCAAAACTGTGCTAAATCCCAGGTGCTAAAACAATGGTACAAATGGGAGCAATGCTTCCATTTATTTTGGTTTTGGTTGTGTGTATTTTACTAGCTATACACTGCCATGCATCGCGTATAATAATAATAATTACAGAGTAGCGGGAAAAACATAATCAGAACTTGCCTACAGTATTTTAAGACGGTGACAGTGTTTGCCTGAAACATCCCACTGTGTTTTCAGGAGTTGCCTCGGCTGGGGAGTGCTAAATGGATCCCGCTGACTCACTGCTGATTCCTGCAAAGGGATGTTGAGGTGGCGGATCTGGCTCCCCAGGGACACCGTCTCCGATGTAGGAACAACAGCCTGGAAGTGGAAGGGAAGGGTCTGAGCTGAGCTTCTCATTCTGCTTGTGAATGCTAATAGTGCTGTAATGCACTTAAGCTGAAGGAAGGGTATTGGCAGAAGCAGGAAAAGAACGCTTTGCATTTTGCATAAGATACATATAGGTCATTTGAGAGAGCAGGTAGACAAGGAAGACTTGATCACAACTGTATCTTTAAAAAATCAGCAGAAGAGGCCTTTTCAGGAGAGAGCCTAATCAGAAATATTTGTGTTCACAAGCACAAGTTGGAAGAAGTGTTTCCTCAGACACTTCACGGACATTTTGCAAAGCCAGCAAACTAGGTGCTAAACTGTCAGAATAACATCTTCAAAGAGATTGTGCAGTTTGTGAAAGTTAAATTTCTGCATTTATAAGGTCTGGATATGTTTGCAGTCTGTGTGGTTACACGTGGACTTGGGCAAAAAAGAAACAACACATGGAGTTACATAAGAAAATCCAGGAATAACATTAAAAATATTAAATCCATCTTTTTATAACTTCCAGACATATTAAATGTCAGATCAACAATCTCACTTTTTTAATTGCTCAAATAAACATTTTAAACTCCTTGTGCAAGTTCATAAAACGTATTGACTTTCAGAAAAAATACTTTTTTAATCGCAGCTAAGAGCTTGTGGGAAAAGAACACTGGGAACAGCCATGCACTTATAGTTCAGCCAAGAAGGAAATTAATTCTTTTTTGGGGACGGTATCTTTTGGAATATACAAGAGGCTGCACGTAACGCATCACATCATTTTGTGGAAATGAAGAACAGTTAATGCAATTAAAGGCAAATCACTGTTGTGCTATCCATGTGAGCCCTGTGCTGAGCATCAGAGGAATTCTGGGAAGGCTGCCTTTCATGGTAGGGTA